AAAGAAAAGAAAAGAAAAGAAAAGAAAAGAAAAGAAAAGAAAAGAAAAGAAAGGCAGGTGTGTACATCTACTGTGTGTCTGAGAAGGGAACCAGTATATAAACCGCCATGCCCATCTTGGAAGGGAGCCAGTGTGTACAGAGAAGCAGAGAGTTCCCAGATTACTGTGACTGTGGATGAAGAACGAAAGGAAAAACTTAGGAAATGAGGCTATAACCAAGACCTGCCAGAACCCCTCACTGCCACACAGAGCTCTGCAGAAGAACGTCACCAGGCTCTATCAGCTCTGGAGAGCTCATCGGAATGGGGAAGCTGAGGCTCAGAGAAGGAAGTAAGGAGGATGATCCCAGGAGTCTCCTTCCTCGTCTTGCCATAAGAAGGGATAAGACACACCATCTAACTGACAGGACTTGGACCCTACCTGAAGCTGAGAACTCAAGGGGACCTGCTAGCCTCAGCTGACCTTAGCTTTCCTAGGTGGCCTCCATGTTCCCAGGTCTGCCACACCACCCAAGGCCACACCCTACCTGTGTACTAGAAGTCTCAGGAAGGCTGGCCACAGACCCATCTCCAGCACTGCCAGGTTTTTGCTAGAGAAACAAGATGGGAGAATAGTAAGCTAAAGGGTTACTTCCCCAGAAACTTCTGTGAGAAGGCAAACCGTACTTCTCATGCCCTACCCGGACAAGCCCATGAACCCAGAACAGTCTCCGGAAAGGGCAGGGTAGCCACTTGGGGATCCCATTCCTCCTGAGGAAGACTATGTGGAAAGCTGTAGAAGAGAACTCATCTCTCTGCGGCCTCCCAAACCTGTAAACATGTCAATGTACCCTGACTTCCAACCGACCATCACGGTTCCCAGCAAAGACAAGTAAGCCCACACGCTAGCTGTCACTCATGGTACTCACCACTTCAGTGCGACAGGTCATGATTGCAGCGACTGTCTTCTCCCCAGTGGTGGCAAAGCTGACGAGAGTGACCTGTAAGGAAAGTGAGATAACGGCTCTCACACAGTGGGATTTAAGGCAAATGTGTGCAGGTTCTTACCTAAGGTCCTGGAAGACCTTTCTGGTCCTAGCAACTGTAATGCCTGCACTTACCTGCGGGAAGTTTTTTAGCAGAGTCACAGCACCTTGATGGTAGTGCAGCAGAGCATAGTGGCCCGGGGACAACTGCAGAAAGAACTGGGCCCGAGAAGGAGCCACTGGGCTGGGCTGTGTGGGCAGGACTTGGGGCTGGAATCCACTTCCAAATTCTAAGTCAGACTAGGGAAGGCAAGAAGAAAGGTGAGAAGCTTAAGCCCTCCCAGACCATCAAGACCAGAACTACCTGCCCTGTTTTCCCAGAGAGCAGTACTAAACTAGGGCAGATGGTTCCAGAAGCTCCTATCAGGGTCCCCAAAAGAGGCCACGGCCTGTACCCTCTGACAACGGGTCAGCCAGACCTACCCTCTCCCCAAGGCTGTCATAGCTCAGGAAAGCAGCAGCAACCACTCAGAGAAACACTGCTTACCCCTAGGCAATCATGCCAGGCCTCATACACCCCACAGGTGACATCCTAGACCAGGAGAGCAGCCTCTCACCTGTAGGGGGATCTGCCGCAGTTCCCACTCCGTCTCCAGGGCCAGAGTGTGGAGGGAATGTGTGCTGGGGTCAGCGCATACCAGGACAGCCTCATCTACCACACCACAGGACCCAGTGAGATGCTGTAGCCAGGGAGTCCAAACCCTGACCTGTGGAGAGATTTTACAACAGACTCATGAAGACCATCATGGTCCCTCTCAGACCACAATCACTGCTGTAATCCCACAGAGGCCCAAGCAATAAATGCATGACTGCCTGATTGTGGTGGCACACACCATTACACCCAGGAGGCAGAAGCCAGTTTGAAGTGAGTTTGAAGCCAGCCTGGTCTATAGAGTGAGCCCCAGGAGAGCCAGAGCTCTCTTGTTTTGTCTTAAAAACAAACAAACAAACACTGCTGATTCCAAAGAGGCTCTTCCTGTTCTTACCCAGCTCCATCAACCTCCAAAAACTGAAGTACTCAGGATTTTTTTTTTTTTTTGGGGGGGGGGGTCACTAGGAAAATGCACCGGGTAACAGTAAGTGGCCAGCCCAAAAGAGCACCATGTATTAGCAAAGTGCATTAAACACATGCTGAGGACAAGCCAGTAGCAACAGACAGCAGCATTAGGAACACACGTGGCTGTTATAGCTGCCCTGCCAACTTCCCCCACACAGAGAAGGCATCTCCCACCCACGAGAAGCCAGATGCCTTCTGTACCTGCTGAACGATCTCTCCATCCTCCACGTTAAACTTGACGATGTTCACATGGCTGAAAGGAACGATGCCAAGGGCCCACACCACCCCGGAGCCGTAGGAATATACCATCTGGTAGTGGATGCTGTCACTAAGAGAGGGAAGAGAGGGCGGGGCCACCAGCTTAGCCCTTAGACTTGAGCTTTCCCAGGGACTTCCAAAACCAAGCAACCACTTCCTAGTGAGATGTCACGAGCTGAAATCCCCCAAATAGAGTTTGTTTGACTCACACAGCCTTAGCTTTTAGGTTCTTTGCGGTGCTGGGGATCAAACCCAGGGCCTCACAAATACTAGGCAAGTGCTCGTCTACCCAGCCCCACCCCTGACCTTGCTTTTCTCTTTAATTTTAATTTCTCATCAACATTTCCAAACTGACATCACATGTATAAACCACTTTGCCAGCTTTTCCTAAGTGACAGATGCAGCATGCCTCCATGTGTACGGGGCACCATACCCGCTCGCTGAGTAAGGCTGTGAAGGCCAACCATACTGCAGTTCCCCTGTAGGCCCCATCAGGTGGGCCAGATGTGGGCGTTTTGTTCTTAGCCCTCTAGGATATTGACTTTTTTCGCTTTGCTCTCTTTCTTTTTAAAACAAAACAAAACAAAAAAAACCAAGGTCTCACTATGTAGCTCAAACTGGCCTTTAAGTTGTTATCTTCCTGTCTTGGCCACCCCCTAAAGTTAAGGGTGGATATGTATGGGGGTGGGGGTTGCACATGAGTACACTTCATGCACCATCATGCTCAGCTAAGACTTTAACCCTTTTTTGGTGAATCAAACAAAAGCCAGGCGGTGGTGCTGCATGACTTTAATCTTAGCACTTGGGAGGCAGAGGGATCTCTGTAAGGCCAGCCTGGTCTGCAGAATGAGTTCCAGGACAGCCAGACAGCTAGAGATACAGAGAAACCCTGTCTCAAAAAACTAGAAAAGAACCAAAGGCCTGTGCATACAGGTAGGCTCCTTGCCACTGGGCCTTATCTCCAGCCCTAACTTTAGCAATTTAACTTCTGATCCCTACCCTAACCGTTTTGGAAATGGTCGCAAATGGCTGACCCTTGCTTGATCTTCTACCTACCCTGTTCTTTCATGCTTCAAACCTCAAGATCTCTGGAAACCACCCTGAGTCCCTCTCAGCCCCTCCCTGTATTTCCAACTCTTACCATGACGAAAGCCTGTTGTGAAAATGCAGCTGACAGGCTCAGAGCACTGTGCATGTGCAAGAGCACCTCCCTGTGTGGTGGCTCTACTGCCCCACTATGAATTTTCTCCACCCTCCCAAGTACACTCCAAGCGTGTGGCAAAGGACTTACCACTCAGGCCCACAGGCAGGAATATACTACTACCATGTTATGCCAACAGGCAGGCACCTGGCCAAGCACACTAAAGGTCATAGTGTGTTGTAGGGATTGGGACAAGGTAATCATCACTTGGAAGACAGCCTTACCTTTCTGGAAGATGTTCCACCCACTTCAGGTGCCCACTGGAAAGGTGATACAGGGTGAGAGTGGTCTTCTTCAGAACTGCAATGTACCTCACTGACTCCTGTAGGCCCACCAGCCCAAGTGCCTGGAAACTGAGCAGAGAGATGGGTGAGGGCCTTCAGCTAGAGTGCTGGTGCCCTAACTGCCGCTGCTTGCTGATGTTTGCTGGGTCAGAAAACCCTGGATCCCAATGCTGGCTCTGCCTGATCTTGGCTCTGCCAACTTGAGAATCTGCCTTGCAATCATTTAGGCACACTGCCCTACAGTCCCCAAATCCCCTCCAGGTTACATCTTTCTTTCCATGAGATTTCACAGGCTTCAGGCCAAGCCTCTAGCATGTACCTAATAGGCAATGCTATCATTGTTGGTTTTAACTGTGTCCACAGCTGGGCATGAACTTGATGACAGAGCTGCCTCACGCTCAGTGTTCTCATCGCCCGGGGTCCACCAAGTGCTAATCAAGTGAGCTGCCATTGTAAGACGCATAAGCTAAAGCCAACAAGCCCATAGACCAGGGTTAGCGAAGATTAGGCAGTGGTCCAGGCTGTTCTCCAACAGACAACTGAAACACAGAGTTTCAAGCATGTTGGTCTACCTCTGGATCCCAGCCCTTACAAGGCAGAGGCAGGAGTGTCAGATGCTAAACAATCAGGACTGTCAAGATGGCTTGGCAGATAAAGGCACTTGCTGAGCAGGGCTGATGACCCAAGTTCAATCCCCAGAAGAGAGGGCTGGAGAGATGGCTCAGAGGCTAAGAACACTCGCTATTTTTCCAGAGGTCCTGAGTTCAATTCCCAGCAACCACATGGTGGCTCATAACCATCTACAGTGAGATCTGGTATGTAGGCAGAATGTAAATGTATTATAATAAATAAATCTTTAAAAAAAAAAAAAGGTAGAAAGAGAGAACAGACTCCACAAAGTTGTTCACTAAAGTCTACATCACGAGGCGTGCACACTCCTCCGCACACACCACCCTTATGACGCACGCATTCAAGCACATGATGACAATAAACAAGAATTCTTTCAAAAGTTCAAGCTCAGCCTCAGCTACATAGCTACTTTGATGGTAGTCCGGGATACAGAAGACCAACTCAAAGCAAACAGAAGAGACACAGAAAGCTTTGTATTATGTTCTTCCACCTAGAACATGGCATGTAAAGCTCACATTATGGTAAGAACAGAATAAACAGGTCCAGTACAGAGCTGTGCATCTAAGAGGTGGCCAACTAACAACTCCCACCTAATTCATAGAAAATAGTTTATAAATTCTCCTCCCACAATCTCATCTACTCAGTGAATACACACACATGTGCTATAACAAGCAAATCAAGAATGGACATCTGAGCTGGGTGTGGTGGCACACAAATTCTAGCACTCAGGAGGTAAAGGAAGAAGGATCTCTTTGGGTTTAAGGCTAGCCTGGTCTACCTATTTCCAGCAGAGCCAAGGCTATGTAGACAGATCCTGTCTTTAAAATAATAATAATAATAATAATAATAATAATCGAGGGCAAGAGAGATGGCTCAGTGGTTAAGATCACTGGCTATTCTTCCAGAGTACCTGGGTTCAATTCCCAGCACCCACATGGTGACTCACAGGCGGCTGGTAATACAGTCCTAGGGGATCCGACACCCTCTTCTGGCCTCCAGAGGGACTGCACTCATGTGGTCCACAGACCTACAAGCCAGCAAAACACTCATACACATAAGAGAAAAACATTTTAAAGGACGGGCATCTGCTGTGCTGTCTCTTCAATGGTCCCTGAGGGAGGAAAGGCAAAGGCCAATGGCTCAGTTGTGGTCCTTGCAGATCACTTCACTCTGCCACAGTGAAGTGCCACTTCTTCCCTACCTGCCAGTGTCCAGAGTTATCTCCCAGTTCAGGCCCCCGATGTTAGTCTCCCAAGAACGCATGATGCGCCCTCCATTGGATACAGTGATTGCATCTGGAAGAGACAAAGACCACTGGCACTTCCCAAACTGGTTCTGCTGCCTCCTAAGGACTATGTGTCATGACCCCACCTGTGGCTTATGGATACAAACAGGTTTAAGCAGGTACCTGTCCTTCACTTTCAGAAGCACCTCTTCTCCTTTCTCCATCACACCCCATACAAAGCAAAGTACCAAGAAACAGGAGATGGGGCTGACCCCACAGTGGAGACCAGGGTGGGCCTCTGCTTACCTTGTCCGTGGACCAACATGACATCCACAGCCCCTTCTGCTGTGCCCTTGTCAACATGCCGCCACACTGAGAAAGACAGACATTGCTGTGAGTGACTGTAACCCAACAAGACCAGGAAGGGACTGACAGCATCACTTGTACAGCATTAGCCAACTTTAATTAGGAGACAAAGAGTACCACTAACTGCGATGACCTAGACCCAGTCACTGGATAGTAAGGGAGGAGGGGCTCAAGACACATTGCTTTCCCCATCTGGGCTCTCTGCCCCTCCAGCCTGCTACCTCTCCATCAAACATATGAAGAAACAACAGTAAGATTAACAAAATCACCCAATTCATAAGAAAACAGTTTAGAAAGTCTCTTTTCACAAACTAGGTTCCTACACACAATCCTAGCAGCAGGGATAACTCCAGGGCAGTCATCAAGCCTTTACTGCAAAAAAAGGACAGAATGTAGCTTTTGCAGTGTTATCTTAGTTAAGGGTCTTCAGGATTGAGGGAATAAATTACAAAGGCCAGCTACAAAAACATGCATATTGAAAGATAACAAGACTAGAGAAGACAAAAAAGAAGATAAGCCACAGGTTTCTCAGATTCACTGCAGTTAGCTTCCCTCCCTGAAGCCTCCAGTCTCCACAGCTCACTCACAGATCTCTCCCGTCCGAGAATTTAACGCTGCAATCACATTCTTCTCTGTGGCCACAACCAACTTCTTGGATCCAGGGGGAAAGTCCAAGGAGGCAAACTTGAGCTTCCCCACATACTGCTGTCTCCTGAGGACGAGTGCAGGGGATCATCAGAGCAAAGTCATCACCGAAAAAAGACAAATTGCTGGTTCACACCAGCACATCCCCTTATCATGTGCAAAAAAAAAAAAAAAGGGCTAATGAAGAGCTCTGACCATACACAAGACGTCTGTACAGTGTTCTCAGAAGCAAAAGGAGATGGAGAATTACCACCAAATACATGAGAAATAGTAACAGTTTTCCACCTAAACGTGGCATCGCTTACTCAGTCAACATCCCAAAGAGTCCTCTGCTTCATTAGTTTTTAGCTGCAACCACTAAACTTCCAGGTACACAGATGCTTGCACACTACTGCAATGAGGAAATACTGCTCTTTGAAGCACATTAAGCAAACACGGCATTTAGACTGCATCTCTCATGTAGACCACTGTGCTGTTTACTCTAGTTTGTTTTAAAGGACTAAATTGGAAGTAGAGTCAAGTTTAGACTCAGTGATTTCTATGTGTTATTTTCATATGACTTTATTCTTTCTCTGTGTGTAACCACCAAACAACCCTACCAAGTACATAAGGCAAATGTTACTGCCGGATTCAACAGGTATGGAAAGCAAAGTCCAGAAAGGCTAGGGACTGTAGGCAGCAGAACGCAAAAGGCCTTTTAAAAAATACTACTGTTAGCTGTTTGTCAATGTACCCAGGAACAGACAACTGTTAAGTGGCCAAATATTCGTTCAATCTGAAATAAGCACGGTATGAAGGAAGAGGTGAGTGAATGACAAGTTGATAAGTTTGAAAAGGCCACGCTGCGTCCAGAGTGTCCCTCGGAAGAAAAAAATAGGGAGAAGAGGGCTCACTTTCAAACCTCTAAGACAGGAGGTCTGAAAGACACCAGATAGTTCCGGGAGGATGAAAGTTCACTGGGGGCTAGTGACCTCGGACACCCAGGAGATCATAAGCGTGACAACTACGGAATCGGGCATGACAGGAAAAAAGGGAAACCAAAAACCCTAAAACATGCCTAGCCCTCCACTCCAGTGCAATCTGCACAGTCATATACGGGTCGGCTTGAAAGGGTTCCCTCAGTGCTTAACTTAATGCTCTTGGGTCGACGTCTTCAAATTTTTCATTTCTGAAGAAGGGAGGCTCACGTTTCCATTCTGCACAAGTGCAGAGTTCATTCATTCCCCTCTCCCTTAGAGGCCCTGCTCTAAGTCATACGCTCGGTCCTGCTCCACGGCACTCTCCACCCAGATAGCAGGAGGGAGACAGATGCTGGGAAAGCAGACACCTACTTCTTGGAGAAGCGTCACCCGTACGCACCAGTCAAACTTGCCCACTTGGTCTTCGTAGACCGCGGCCGCAGGGACTAGCAGCAAAGCCCAGAGCCAGAAGCCGGACACCACAGTGGCCACCATGATTGAAGCCCAAGCACCGCCCGCCGCTAGCCCGGCATGCACTGGGCTTCAAGCCCCTCCCTCCGCTGAGCCATAGAGAGGAACCGGTTCGCGGGGCCCTTGGTGGAGCGCTCAGGACTCGGGAGCCGTCAGGGCTGAAGGGACCGGAGAGATCTGGAACCTGGGCTGAGAAGTGGCCTTCCAGACACCGGGCAGACCGCAGGCAGGGAGAGACGGGCCGCGGAAGTTCGGATCAGGCACTCGCGAGGGCAGCCCCTAGCGCCGTCCCAGAAGCCCCTGCGCCGCCCGGGCCCTGACAGGCCGCCGGGTCTTCCGCCGCACGTGTCTTTAGCGCGATGCCCAAATCCAAGCGAGACAAGAAAGGTAAGTTGGGGGACCTCTGTCACGGGGACACAGGTGAGACTTTGAGGCCTCTCTAAGGAGCTCCGCCGGCCTGGATAGCTGGTTGGCGTCGGCAGGTCACTGAGAGTGCTGGAGTGTGGGTCGGGCCGACAGGCAGCTACCGGGACAGTCTTGTATCCCAGGCTCACCTCGCACTCTCCAGGATAGTCTTAAATTGCTGATCCTGCTGCTTCTACCTCTCGATTGCTGGGATTACAGGCATGCACCCCTAAACCTGGTTTGTGCTGTGTTAGGGATGGAACACAGAACACTCATTCTAGGCAGACACCACTACCCTATGAGCACTGAGCTACAGCCCCGGGCACGCGCGCCTGTTTTTGTTTGCCATGTAGGTCAAATTTGCTGTGTAGACCAGAATGGTCTCAAAATCAGGAGCTTTCCATAACCTCATCCTCTCCAGAATGTAGGGATTTTGCAGGCAGGCATCACCGTACCTGATTTCGGCTACTGCATTTTTTGTTTGTTTGTTTGTTTGCTTGTTTTTTAATGCTGGGGCCTCCCATCTGTCTGCCTTGGCCCCAAATACAGACTGGGCCACCACATCCAACCAGCGGACTAACACTTTTTTGAGTGTTACAGGAACATGACAGTTGAACGAAAAGGATCTGGCTTCATCAAGGTCACTGCTTTAGTTGGGGGAGGGGGATGCCTCCTGTATGCCTGTCAAGTAAGTATAGTGTGTTTTGTATAATGTAGTGAGGAAAGGAAGTGAGCAACCTGTACAGTTGTCTGCGAGAACGTTGTTTGGAATGTAGAGGAAGTGGAAGGCGCCTGTAGTGTAGTTAACATATTGGGGCACAGGAGGCCAGTGTGGCTGTAGTAGAGTGAACAAAATAGGATGCGGCCTTTGATGTGGCTTTACTTTGAAAGGATTCACTTTGGCTACCTTTATATTTATAGCCTGGAGAAAGTGAGTGTAGGCAGAGATGGAAGCAGCGAAGCCAGTAACCACCTGGAGAAGGCTAAGTTGTACCAGAATCCTAGCAGTGGAGAGTCTGGGACATGGCTGGCTCATTGTGGTTGCCTTTGACTGCGTGCCTTGTAAAGAGGGACTGAGTGACAGGCAGAGTAGTAGGCTGTATAATCTCCTGGGGGACACCCAGGGCTTTGTAGCTGGTGTCAAGTCCTGATGGAGTCATTGGGTTCTGTGAAGGGACCCTGGTCAGATAGAAGCAAATGCCACTAACTCTTTTGGAAGTGGGACAAATACAGCCTTGGTTATTAGTAGAGGTTCTTGTGCCCCCCCAACCTGCCCTATCCCCAACATTACTGCATCCTTGGGTCCAGATTACAGAATGGAGGTGTAGGTATACAACATAATAAAAAAGATAAGGTCCCAACAGGTGAGGTGGTACGTGCCTGTAATCCCAGCACTTAGGAAGCAGAAGCAAGGAAATGTATCTTGAGTTCGAGGCCATCCCAAGTAGCCTTGTAGTCAGTTCCTGTGGCAGGTGGCATAGGCCTGTAATCCTAGCACTTGGGAGGCAGAGGTAGGTGGATCTCTCTGAGTTCTGAGGCCAGCCTAGTCTCCATGGCTACACAAGAGAAACCCTGTCTCAAAATAAAATAAAAGAAAGAAAGAAAAAAGAGGAACTGGAACTGTCTCTATCTTCCCATAGCTTGACCTAGCTCTTGGTGGCCTTTACATAGTGCCCTATAGCAGGAAAGGGGCTTCAGCCAGCAGATTGCGGTTGCCACTGAGCATCCTGTCAGCAGGAATGAGCCCTGTTTCTGCACTGCTGTAAATCCAGCTAAAGAGCTAAGGGCACCTAGTTTGTGGTAGGAGATGTATGTAGAGATCTCTGTGCCAGGAATGCTAGGTAAGCAAGCACTCTGCCAGTCTTGAATGCCCGGAATGACAGCATCCATTGCTGCCTCCTTCACACTGGATTAGTTCAGCCAGGCCTCAAAGAGGAAAGTGAAATTAGTCTCCAGAGCATCCAGATTGACTACCTGCCACCATCTCTTTTCTTGGTTTTAGTTTCCTTAACAAAAACTGCCAAGAAAGGTTTGGAACTGAAGCAGAACCTGATAGAAGAGGTAAACACTTCCTCCTTTATTTTCCTAGCGTTCCTAGCGTGTGTGTGTGTGTATGTGTGTGTGTGTGTGTGTCTTTGGTAGTCTTGGGATAGGGCTATTAGCAGTGTTTCAAAAACAGCAGCAGAGTTTCCCATCCAGCTTTCTTTTCCATAGCAGTACAACCACTACCCAAAAACTGCTCACTGTTTTGTCGTTCTGGTTGGGCTCCCACCGTGTTCCCTGCACAACAGTAAATTATTTGTGTGCATTTTCCGCACCACCCACAACATCTTGGTGACCCAGGGCCAGGTGATGCTAAGTAAGTTTGTAATGCTGCCCAGTGTCAGAAAGCTGTGGAGTGGCCATCCATCTGCAACTGACCTGCTGGCCCTGGGCCAGTTAAGGACAGTCTCCTGGTGTACAAATTTCCCAATCTGTAGAAATGGAGAGGCTTCAGCCAGCAGCCTGCCCAGGGCAGTGAGGGTTAAGTGTCTGTACTTGTTGATAAATGATGAGGGGCCTTGTGTTTTGATTTAGCAGGGCCTTCCCAGGGTGGCCAGATTCTAGATTAACTAAGTAGACAAAGGAAAATGGGGTGATTGTTCCACATTGGTCATGGGAAGACTGTAGGGTTTGGGTTCCTGCTCACCTCCTTTAGTGGGTGACCCTCTAGCATTAGTCACATCAGTGGGAGACAGCCAGATTAAAAGCCTATAGCCGATTATTTTGCATGAGGCCAGACCCATGCTACCCCTTCAAGTCCAGAGCCTCATGAATTGCTCCACAGCTTCGGAAATGTGTGGACACCTACAAGTACCTCTTCATCTTTTCTGTGGCCAACATGAGGAACAACAAGCTGAAGGACATCCGGAATGCCTGGAAGCACAGCCGGTGAGCAGTGGGAAGAGATGAGAGCATCAGGCAAGAGAGATGCCTGCACTCAGCAAAGCACAGGAGCAGAGCTGACCTTTGGGTCTGCAGCTCACTTGCTGAAAAGTACAAATTACATCAGGCTTGGCCTTTCCCTGAGCCACTGGGGCTCAAGACCTGGTGGTCACTTGGGATATTTCAAGATTGGTTTCTTCAGGAAAGTGTTCCCTGGAATCTGGCATACTGGTTTACTGGGTTTCATTGTGTACATTTGACCCCAAAGCAGGCTGCAGGAGCTGGTGGGTTGCAGTACTTGGGCAGGTGGCTCTGTTGTACCAGCTCTTCTGGGGACTGTTAGACATACTTCTGCCAGACATGCATGGGTGGGTTTTGAGGCTTGCAGTGAGTTGGCTCAAACTGTTGGCAAGATCTGGTTCTGTGGATAAGAAAATGAAAACAGGAATCCTGGGGACACATGGGTGGGCTTCTTAGAGAGCAGAGCCTCTGGCCACACCTCCTATTGCCTGGTTCTGGGCTCCCTGAACTTCTGAGCATTGCCTAACAGCCCCCTTTTTCTTGGTATAGGATGTTCTTTGGCAAAAACAAGGTGATGATGGTGGCCTTGGGTCGAAGCCCATCTGACGAATATAAAGACAACCTGCATCAGGTAGGTCACAGGCCCCCACTACATGAGGCTGAAGCTCAACTGCCTCCTCTCTCCTGTGCTTCCCTTTTGCCACCACAGCTATGTGACTGGCCTGTGGGTTCAGGAAAACCAAGCTTGGCTTAAATCTGTGTTCCTAGCCTCCAGATCCATGGGGGCTGTGCCCTTTCTGGGCCTGTCCTATTTACTAGGAGTTCTACCAGTCAGAAAAGTGTTTAGATGATACAAGATGTCTCCTGTGGATAAATTGCCACCAGCAAAGCAGCAGTGATATTTGCTTTTGTTTTTCAGGTCAGTAAGAAGTTGAGAGGTGAAGTTGGCCTTCTTTTTACCAACCGCACAAAGGAGGAGGTGAATGAGTGAGTGTCTGAGGGATGGTGGGAGAGAAGCTGAGAGTCAGGGAATAGTGAAGAAATAAAGAGCTGGCTCCTCAAAACCTCTTAGTGAATAACCAGGGTTCTCTTATTCTCTCTGGCATGCTCCTCCCCACTGGCTGCCAGTCCACAAAACTGACGGGGACAGGCAGCTCCAGACCATGTACACTCAAAGGAAGGCTGGACTTGAGCTGAATGGTGATGCTTCCAGAAACCTTACCCTCACCCTTCTCTTCCTTAGGTGGTTCACCAAGTATACAGAAATGGATTTTGCTCGAGCTGGGAACAAAGCAACTCTAACTGTGAGCCTAGATCCAGGCCCCCTGAAGCAGTTCCCTCATTCCATGGAGCCACAGCTGAGACAGCTGGGCCTGCCCACTACCCTCAAGAAAGGTAGGAGGCTGGAGAGGTGGCTTAGGGTTTAGAGTGCTGGTTGCTCTTCCAGAGGACATGGGTTTGAGTCCCGGGACTCTCATCTAGCCTCTGTGGCACCAGTATTCCAAAGCATACATGTAGGCAGAAAGCGTCTGAGGAGCGCCTGCCTGCAGGATCACCCCTCTGACCAGCTGTTTTCTCTGCCAAGGCAGAGCTCAGCACTCCCCTCCAGCAGGATATGGAGGAGGCAGCTGCTGTCCTTCTGATGCTGAGCTGCAGGGAAGGCAGCCTGTGGCTGCGTGCTCCCTAGGGCTAGGCGCTAGCAGCCAATGCTGCGTGAGCCAGGGCTGGGAATGACTTAGTGCTGCCCTCCCACAGGTGTGGTGACCCTGCTATCTGACTACGAAGTATGCAAGGAAGGTGACGTGCTGACCCCAGAGCAGGCCCGTGTCCTGGTGAGTCTGGGCCTGCAACCTGGGGGAGAGGCTGTTGCCGTTAACTGGGACATGGCCCCATGCTGATCACAGCTGCTCCTCCTCACTCTGTCTTCTCCGTCTCTTACAGAAGCTTTTTGGGTATGAGATGGCTGAATTCAAAGTGACCATCAAATACATGTGGGATGCCCAGACTGGAAGATTCCAGCAAATGGACGATGACCTGCCCGAGAGCGCGCCTGAGTCTGAGGGAGAGTCTGAGGAGGAGGAGGATGACAGCTGACTCTGGGACTCGGGACTAAGGCCTTCCAGCAAGATCCTCGTGTCCACTGGACCACCCAGGACTGCTGTCACTCCTCTGCAGGAAGCAGCTCTTTATTTTGCTGTGGATAAAGACAAAGGGGGGTGCTGGGAGTGACTTTGTTTCTATAAGGAATAAAATTTTGTCCACAGGGTGTTCCTGTGGCAGACATTTTTTAGTAAAAAAAAGGCCCTCAGCTTTGCACTTCTGCTTGGAGCCGGGACTTGCAACACAGCGGCTGCAGATAGCTGATGGTAGCTCCCGGAGTTGGTATCCCCTTCTGCATCTGCCTGGAATGGGTTTGCTGAGTAAAGTTCATAGTCTGGCAACTTCTGCATTAACATGCACACACAGAAATGCAAAAAAAGGCCTAAGACTGACATGCCAGGAACGTGGGCCTGTCACCTAAGGCAGGGGAAAGCCGCTGCTGGAGTTGGGAGCGAGTGGATTTTGAGTCAGGCTGGTCTTGAACTTGCAGCAATCCTCTGGCCTCTGCTCCTTAAGTGCTGGGATTATAGGTGCTACCACACCTGGCTAGCTAGGACCAGTGCCCCATAGAGCTACAGATATATAATTAAGTGGTAAAGCATTTGTGTGCCATGCTTGAGGCCCAGAGGTTTCCTCCCTAACAGCGCACAAAAACTGATGAAAATCGTGCTTCCTCAGATTTCCTGGCCTCTACCCTAGAGGAGGGAAGTGGCAAGAGAACATCAAGACTGGATAAGAGAGCCTTAGGTCTTCATAGTCATGCCCCAAAAAGCCATGATCATGCCTGTAATTAGCACCTCAGGAGGCTGAGGTAGAATTGAAAGTTTGAAGCCAAGCCAGACATAACACACCTTTAATCTCATTACTGGGGAGGTAGAGGATGGCCATGGCTGCATAGAGCCTGTTTCAAAAGTTTGGTGCCAGTCAAATGGGCTAAAAAAGGTCAGGCATATTAATTTATACCAGCAGTTGGAAGGTAGGAACAAAGAGATCTGATAAATAGTGAATTCAAGGCCAGCCTAGACTATATGGAAGCCTGTCTTAAAATGCCAAGGGGTGGTGGCTCGCACTTTAATCCCAGTACCTGGGAGGCAGACTTAGGGACAGCCAGGGAGGGATACACAGAGCAACAAAAAGGACCAGTGAGATGATTCAGCCGGTAGAAGCACTTGCCACCAAGCCTGACAAAACACTGCTCAGTATTCAACCACCCTCCCTGCCTCCTGCTGTATTGAGCTGAGCCTGGAGAAGCTTGGGTTCACCAGGTGGCCTTTCAGCTTCTTGTTGCCTGTTCCTCTGCATGCAGGATGGTTGTGGAAATTACACAGCCTTTCCTTTCATTGGAGCAAGAAGGACCTAGCTGCTGTCCACTGCTGTGGGACTCCATGGTGGGCAGGAAGGGAACTTGCGGTGCCAGAAGGAACCTGGCAGTTTTCTTGAGGGAAGCACTTGGCCTTTGCCAAGCCCCTGCTGAAAGGTCAGGCTTACCTGGCACCTCTGCCCTCCATAGACCTGCCCCCTTCCACTAGGTCTTTGGAAGGTCAGCGAGAAGCAAGCCACAGGCATTTGCAGAATAAGGCCACAGGTCTGCTGCAGCCTGGACTACAGCCATGACAGGTTAACAGTTTATTCAACAGGAGATACTGGGGCAGAGCTCAGCATGCTCTCACATTGGTTATATAGGAAGGCAGTAGAAAAAAAAAAACAAGAAACAATGACCTGGATGAAAAGAGAAAGAACAGCTGAATCAACTCAAGGCTGGGACTTGAGGGTAGAGGCCAGGGTAGAGGACAATGGGTGGCAGATGGTAACCTCTGCACCTTCCCAAATCAGAACCATCTTAGCGGAAGTAATTGGGACTGTCAAGAGCAACCAGGTTCCAGGCTTGGTCAAAGGCTTCCACGACGGCCGGCTCTAGGGGCCCTTCCTCAATGAAGGCCAAGTTCTGTTCCAGTTGCGCCAGGCTGGACATGCCCAAGATGACTGCATCCCCTCGAGTGCTCTGCAAAGGAGACAGCCAGCTTTTCACACACTTGGGGCTTCCTGCCTGCCCCTTGCTAAGATTTGGGATCTGTTTTTACTTAAACCCATCTTGCTTCCAGGAGAAATGACTACAAACAGCCAAGGTCAGTCAGGCTTCTCTGCCCTGCAGGACAGTTTGAGAATCACTGATCCCCATAGCTGGCATTTACCAGATATTAAACAGGCACCATTACCCCAGTATGCCCACACTGGAGAAAGGTTAGAGAAGAGGGAGCTAGGACAAAAGAAATGCTGTAAGGAATGTAATAAATACTTTTTTTGGGGGGGTGGGGGGAAAAGGGATTGAGACATGGTTTCTCTGTGTAGGCCTGGCTGTCCTGGACTCGCTTTGTAGACCAGGCTGGCCTTGAACTCATAGATCCACCTGCCTCTGCCTCCCCAAGTATTAGGATTACAGGCATGTACCACAGCGCCTGGCTTAAAAACTATTTTTTTAATGTACTTTTCAGAGTCAGATTTATGCTTATTTCCTTCCACGTGGAGTTGTGGGACTTTAAGGAAACAAGCCTCTCTGAACCAATTTCTCTAAATAAAAATTGAGATCATTAGAAATGGAGGGATGGCTCAATCATTAGAAGCAGTTTCTGCTCTTGCAGAGGACCTGGATTCAGTTTCCACCCCCACGTGGCACCAGCTCACAACCACCTTTAACTACAATTCCAGGGGTCTTGCCATCCTCTTCTGGCTTCTGTGGGTACTGCATGCACATGAAACCCATCAGGCAAAATGTTCATACAGACAAAATGAAACTAACTGGATCTGCATCAGCATTCAGGGAGGCAGAGGCAGGCAGAGCTCTGTGAGTTTAAAGCCAGCCTGGTCTAGCTACAAAGCAAGCCCAGGACAGCCAAGGCCACACAAGAGAAACAGTTTTGGGAAAAAAAATCACTAATAATAATAACTAAATCTTTAAGAGAGAGAAAAAAAATCAAGATGACTAGACTTCATGTAGGCACTGAAACCTAGTCAGGTGTGCTACTGCTAACATGCTTCACCATCCCAGGAGAAGAAGCTGGGCCAGAGGAGACATAGCCTCAGCAATAGGCCTCTATCGTTTCTAAGCCTCCACCTCCCCGCGTCAGACTTCACAGTGGAGGCTGAGCAGCCAGAACCAGCTGGGCTACCTGGAGCTGTGAGTGGTGGTACATCCAGCGCAGGGCAGCAGAGGTCATGCTGGGGGCGCTGGTACCGTTGGTAGACTTCAGAGCCTTCTCCACCAAGGCGAGGCCATTGAAGTGTTCCTCCTTCCAGTAGCTGGGTGAGTGGGGTGACACGGGGTTCAGTATCTTAGGGGCCACTAGAGAATGACCTAATCCCTGCATCCCTAAGGTGGCCTATGTCCTCGGGTAGAGCCCTGTGTCCTCCGGGTAGAGCCCGGTGTCCTCAGGTAGAGCCCAGTGTCCTCAGGTAGAACCCTACTCCATAAGCATCAGGACACACGGGTCTCCAGGTTTGGGAAGGACACAGAGGACAAAAATCCTGGCACTTTACATTAACAATACAGCTCCTGGGGCTGAAGAGATGTCTTAACAGTTAAGAGCACTGGCTGCTCTTCCAGAGGTCCTGAGTTCAATTCCCAGCAACTTCATGGTGGCTCATGACCATCTATAATGAGATCTGATGCCCTCTTCTGGCATTCAAGTATACATGCCAATAGAGCACTCATATGCATAAATAAATCTTTTTTTTTTAAATACATCTCCCTAAATGAGGACTCTCAAGAGCCAACAGCAACCATACTTGTGAGCCCTGAGTCACACAAAAGCCTGAAGCAAGTCCTGGGCACCAGTGCAGCTTCTGTGGCCTTGGCTGAGCCACCTCCCTCCCCTGCATTCACTGGTCTATTTACTGAGGGAGGGAAACACTCTCCCCGCCAGCCTGTAGACTAAAGAAGGTGACCACAGGGAAGGCCAGCAAGCCTTGATTCTCCAGAGGAAAGCCCTGGCCTCTGACAGTGCATAAAAATGACTTCAGTTCAAGGTAATGGTTTCTTCTCCCAGGCAGGAGGATCACAGACTGTGAGTGGGGAAGCTGCAGACAGGGGTGGTTTTTATTCCTACTGTTTTGTTTTTAGGCACTAGGCATCAAATGCAAGGCTACATGTATGATCAACAAGTGTTCCAGCAGCGAGCAACACACTCCCAACAGATAAGGCTTGAATCAAGAAGGGTGCATAAGTGAGGTAACACATATTGCTCACTGCTTACACCTTTGGCCTTTTCAACAAAATCGGCACTGGAGCCTCCAACAGGAAGCTTGCTTGCTCGGCCTCTCCTTCCCAGACAGAGAATGCAAAAAGCATATATATCAGCCTGGGCTCAGAAATGAGCCTTGGAGACATGGCAACTGAGATGACAGAGGGGAAGGAAATATGAGAGTTTCACACTTACATTTGGCCATGGGAACGCTTATATCCCACCTCTCAGGAGGCTAAAGCAGGAGGATCGCAAGTTGTAGGCTAGCTGGGGCCAAACTCTTCCTCAAAACAAACAAACAAACAAATAAAATGTCACTAAGAAAAAAAGGGCACAGTGGGGCACACCTGTAATCCCAGCGCTCAGGGAGGCAGAGGCAGGGGGATCTCTGTGAGCTCAAGGCCAGCCTGGTCTACAAAGTGAGTTCAGGACAGCCAAGACTACACAGAGAAACATGGCCTCAAAATAAAAAAAATAAATAAGAAAGAAAGAAAGAAAGAAAGAAAGAAAGAAAGAAAGAAAGAAAGAAAGAAAGAAAGAAGGAAGGAAAAAGACTTAATAGTTGATAAGTTTTTAATATTAGATAATTTAATAATAGTTAATAAATTTTTAAATATTAGAACCTTTTTTTTTATAGTATCAGGAATTGAAACCAAGTTATTGAGCATTTCATCCCCAAACGCTAGGCAGGCCTCACACTTAAAATCCTCTGCCTCAGCTTCCCCAGTCAGATCAAAGTTTTAGGTAGTTAAATAGGAGCAGGCTATGGTGACAGACACTAGTCTTCTTAGCTCTTTGGCCATGTGGTGGTGGTTCGTGAAGCTTGAATCCCAGCATCTCTGAGTTAGAGATCTGACTTTGAGGCCAGCCTGGTCTATAGAGCAAGTTCTAAGACAGCCAGGGCTACACAGAGAAACCCTGTCTCAACAAACAAACAAAAATCCTAGCTCTTCAGATGTGAGGGCAGAAGAATCAGGAGTTGAAGGTCATCCTCAGCTACAAACCAAGTTTGAGGCCCATCCAGGATACAAAAGATCCTGACTCAAACTTAAAACAAAACAAAACAAAACAAAAAAAAAAAAAAAACAGGAAAGGGAGGTTGGTCCCAACACTAAGCTCCAGGCCTACCTGCTGTCCTCTCGCTGTTGGCAGTGGACAAGCTCTTCCCAAGAAAGACGCACAGGCTAACAAAAGTACAGATGTCAAGGGATCTGTTTGACAGCCCAAGAACATTCCTCCAATGCCCAGGACAGTTAACGTCCAGAGTCTTGGGCCTGAATACCACAGAGGGGCAGGAGCCCAGGAAAGCAACCACCAACTGAAGAAACCTATAGCACTTCTTCCACAGGCACAGGCCCCGCCAGAGCTCACCGGTCCATGTACATCTGAGAAAATTCATTCCCAAAGAAGCGGCTCTAGGGATGCTTCCCTTCCTTGTCCTGGTATTTATATCTGCCAGTCAGCAGGCCCCCTGCAGGAAAGCAGCAGTCAGACCCTGGCCTAGGCTCCTCCCAGTGGCTGCCATGCCATTCCATGTTAGAAACTAGAGAGCAGAAGGGAACCTGAAAAGAAGGGGACCCAGGCACCTCCTTCTCGAAGCCCAGATTCCCAGGGCTTGGAATGGACATCTCCCATGGCAGCACTATATAAAGCTGGGCTGGGCATGCCCACCTATCCATAGCACCTGTGCCCACGGCAGCCCATACCAGCCAAAGGGTTGTAGGCATAGAACCTCAGTCCAAAGTGTCTGAGGCAGGGGAGGAGCTCCTTCTCCACCTGCCTGGTGGTGGCGTTGTACATGCCCTGCAGGGAGACAGTTGGGGAGGAGGGCCATGTCAAGAGAGAGACCCAAATGTACCTTGTAAAGTCCCTCACTTTAGTCCTTAACATTCCTGGACCTTGACAATGAGGGCGTACACATAGTGGTGGTAGATTCGGGGTTTAAACCACCTAGTTTATGGTTATGCCCAAAGATCAGTGGAGGCATGGACCCAAAGTCTGAATGGTCCTGGCACACCAGGTTCCTCTCACCTGGTACACAGTTGGCATGATCCAGCCATTTTTCTTGCAGATGGTACAGATCTCAGCCACTTCCCAGGAGGCATAGTTGGACACGCCAAGCTCTACAAACTTGCCCTACGGGGGAGAGACTCCATCACAGCCCAGCTCAGGAGAGACTCCATCACAGCCCAGCTCAGGGAGAGACTCCATCACAGCCCAGCTCAGCCCAGGAGACCAGTAAAAGCAGCCTGACAATGTGGGTAGCCTGGAGTGAGGTCTGTGCCCAGCTCTGCTGTGTGTTCCCAGCACTCACTCTCCTGCTAGGGTGAAGATGAAAGGTCAGAGGGCATCTCCCCAAGCTCAGGGGCCACCTCACCTCCTGATGCAGCTGGTGACAGGTCTGCAGGGTCTCCTCTATAGGGGTGCTGTGGTCTGGTAAGTGTAAGTAAAAGAGGTCCACCCGGGGACACTGCAGCCGCTTCAGGGATGTCTCCAGCTGGAACCGCACATCATCAGGCTATTCCAAACATTGGAATAGCCTTGGTGGCAATTTTTACTTTTCAGGAAGAAAAATGAAAATTCAAGCCACTCAAGAAAAATGCAAATTCAAACAGACTATCCAGTGTAACAGTTAGGGAACAAAGCTGGACAGGGCATGGTAGTGCAGGCCTTTAATCCCAAGCCTTCATAGTACAAATGTGGCCCATATGAACCACTATATCAAGAACAAGAGAAAGGGGAAAAAGAGAGAGATGGCAGATTGGGGGGAGGATAATAAATGGACAAAGACAGAGATATATAACTGGTGTCAAATTCCAGCTCTGCTCTTCATAGTTGTGGCCTTGACCTAACCGCTCTTTAGTTCTGCCAATTGTAAACAGCAGAGAGTGATAACAGCTTATGGGGAAGTCCTGAGGGTTGATCAGGCTTAACTGATTGTAGACCTTATGAGCGGCTGCTATCCTCACTGGAACAATTGAGCACCTTTTAAGCTAAGCCTGGCACTAGGGCTGGTAGAGGCTGGAAGATCTTGCCCTCACGTCCTGTGCAGAAAACAGGGCCAGCACTGAGTAATGAAGTGGGGAAGAGCATGAAGGTCCACAGTGGGGCAGAGCAAGGAGGTGGAGGCTGGCCTGGGGGCTCACCAGGCTCCCTCAGAATCTCATCTGAGTGTTTAGGGCAAGTGAGAGACCAGCAGAGAAGAAACAGAGAGACACCCACTCACAGGAAGTGCACAGGCTTTAAAAACATGAGCAAGAAGGCTGTGGGTGGGAGCCACACCTGCCCTCCCAGGTACCAGGGCTCCAGGTCTTGGATGGGGATACATGAAAAGAGAAAAGGCAGCAGACGAGAAGCAAAATGGCCCTGAAAGCACCCCACATGGAGTCCTGACTTTAGATTAGAGGTTGTAGGTGGTCCCTGAATCTTCCAACTCCAGAGCTCTGTGTCATCTGAAGATGTTTTAAAAGATGACCCTGAATGCAGCATGGATGATGGGCAGGTCTGATCACAGGGTGAGGAGGGTACAGAAGGAACTGGAGACAGAGACATGAGAGGCCTCCCCCTGAGGGCCTGTGAGAAGGAAAGTCAGGGCCAGTACAGACTCCACTTGTGAAAACAGGCCAGTGTTGGGCCATCTGTGTGAGTCCCTGCTCCTCTCCCTGTCCCTGCTAAGAAGCCCATTTGGATGTTGGATGGATGGGTGGGTGGGTGGATAGATGGATAGGTATAAGAAACTCCATCCCCCAGCTCTCTTTGTAGCGCTAGTATGGCTCCTGGTGAAGCAGGAGGCCCTGCTAACCAATCAAGATGGACAGAATCGAGGGCCAACAGGGGCACCTGCAGGGCAGCAGTTGAAATCCTGGAGCCCAGCTAGCCATAAGTTCCAGGCTAGACCAGGGTTAGGGCCATCGTGTGAAGAGAATCTTGCGCTACTTTGCGGAAGAAGGTGTGGAAAGAGACTGTCAAGGTGTGTAAAGCTAGACATGGCTGAAGTTTGCCTGCCTGAGGAGTTGCAATTCTTAGAGCTGTTGTGTGGACAGGGGAGATGAGAGCTTTGGGAGCCAGCCAAAGATGTGCTGGAGCAGGGGGATGACAGGTGTGACGGTTACCTTTGCAGCCGCTGCGGCCCAGCCCGAGTCCCAGGCCACCTAGGACAGTCTCAGACTGGCCTTCCCCATACACGAAGGCGGTGTCTATCTCAGTGTAGCCGCGCTGCAGGAAGGCACGCACCGAGGCGGCGCTGGAGGTCGCGTCCATGCTTTGCCCCATCTCCATGGCACCCAGGACAGTGGCAGGCACGGTCGGCGACATGATGACAATGTAGAGTTGGCAGAAGGTGAAGGATTAGAGAAGTTGGATACAGCGGTCTGTATCTCTAGCCTTGGGAAGTGGCGCCCACAGCTTTATTAACCTGTTGTGGCCACGCCCATGGGACGGGGCGAGTAGAGGTAGGGCGTGTTTGTGCTGGCTGTTGCAAGGGA